CTCTCTCTCTCTCTCTCACACACACACACACACACACACACACACACACACACACACACACACACAAGCGCGCCAACAGAACCTTTCTTTTCTATCATTTTCTAAGTTTTCTGATGTGTTTTCTTTTACTTCTTTTGTTCCTCGAATTAGGTGTGTCATCCTGAAACGGCTCTCTTCGCCATTGTAGGACCCACCGGGCACTCACTTGGGCGGCCCCTGTTGGCTGCAGCGCGTTAATGGGGAAGGCCCGCAACCAACGTATGGCCCAAGTACTGGTGGTTTAAAGCATCACAGCTGGGTTTTGTGGGCTGTGTGGAGCTTAAACTCACGTGCCCCTATGCAAAACAGTATCAAACATGGTCCTTCGGTAGGTCTGTTGCCTCTGGTGGGATGCCTCACCTCATATCTGCCGCAGTGGATGCTGCGCCACATATCTGCAACGAGCATGCAGATGACTGTATATACAGACACAGAGATAGGCTGGATCAGGAAGAAATCTCGCACTCCCTCTTCAGATCCTTTGAGAACCGCCAGTCTCTTCCTGAACCACCCTATCTTATCATTGGTTATATTATAGGCCGCGTTGTCGTAAAACACCCAATTGCTGGCATGGTGGGTGTACACTTCTTCCCTCTCCTGAACCTTGCTGGAGGGGAGAGCGTTGACCCTATGTTGTTTCCCCCCCTGGTTAATCAACCCACCCTCAGAACTGGTCAGGAAATTCGCGACAAAAACGGTGCTGGCTGTCAATAGGTTGTCTAAAGGAATTTCCAATTTCTGCTCACCCTCCTCTGGCCCGGCTTCCTTCCTTTTGACCGTCAGTGTGTCACCACTGTAACGTCGCTTGAGCTTATCAGCCCACGAACTGGAAGAAGAGGTGGCAGTGGCCTGGCCTTCAATTCTCTCCTTCGGTTCTTGTAATTCTTATTGTTTCCTGACGATGAGGGGGGCGAAAGCGGTTAAGGCTCCAGCACCGCGCTGGACTGGCCGAGCGGAAGGGTATTGATGCTTGCCAGTACGACGAACCAACGGCAATGCCATAGGCATCATCGATCAGCATCCATGCACACCCCCCAAAAATTAAAAAAGACCTCGGCGTCGCATTCCGAACATCTGAATCCAGGCCGAGAACAGTCACACAGGAGGATTAACCCTTATGTTAACACACCATCGCCCTTATCTTAAAGCATCAACGAAAAAAAGGGGGGGGGGAAACAACAAACCATCATGCAGGAAAATTTCACACACGTCACGACGTCCATGCAAAAAAGCAGCAAACAACAAGACGACGGGATAATCCACCCTTATACCAAAAGGTCAGCGATAAAAGAAAAAGTGCACCAACACACAGGATAATTCCACACACACCACAACGCCGTTGCAAAAAAACAGCAAAAAACAGAACGACGGAGGAGGTGACGGGCAGAGTATAACCGGGCATTATTACCCCACTTTTCCTGCTTAACTTTGCTGCCATTCTCCCTCCTCCAGGGTGGCTACTGCACCCCCGAAGGCCCCTGAGGGAGATATGACAACACACACACACACACACACACACACACACACACACACACACACACACACACACACACACACACACACACACACATGCGCGCGCACACACACACACACACACGGCCACTTGCTGCAAATGCGACTGCAGCAGCAGTGCTGCATCCAGATACATACGGAAATAGCATAATGTAGACCTGTCAGATACGGACGCGACACCCCATCACACACCACACATGTGAGAAAGAGAGGAGGGACCAACGTCCACGCACATGGGGAGATACCACTGATGAAGAGATGGGGGAGAGGCCAGATGAAGGCGGAGATGAGGGAGAAGACCCAGATAAAGATAGATATCTGTCTGTCTGTCTGTCTGTCTGTCTGTCTGTCTGTCTCTCTCTCTCTCTCTCTCTCTCTCTCTCTCTCTCTCTCTCTCTCTCTCTCTCTCTC